CCGTTCGTGTTCTCTGCTCATGTTCCAAGAGCATACGGTGACCAGAGCATCCATGCCCAAACCATAATTCCGTTCGTGTTCCAAGAGCATACGGTGACCAGAGCATCCATGCTCAAACCATAATTCCGTTCGTGTTCCAAGAGCATACGGTGACCAGAGCATCCATGCTCAAACCATAATTCCGTTTGTGTTCCAAGAGCATACCGTGACCAGAGCATCCATGCCCAAACCATAATTCCGTTGGTGTTCCAAGAGCATACGGTGACCAGAGCATCCATGCCCAAACCATATTTCTGCTCGTGTTCCAAGAGCATATGGTGACCAGAGCATCCATGCCCAGACCATAATTCCGTTCGCGTTCCAAGAGCATACGGTGACCAGAGCATCCATCCTATGGAGCAGGACTTCGAGGAAGGCCTTGGCATCCATCAGCTGATATCTTCAAGTTCTAGATGTTTTTCATGTTGCCCTTCTTTTTGTCCTTGAAATAGCACCGAAACCACAGTAATAAGCACATTCCTGAACATAAGAGTTCCTTTCCTAATTCCCCCGTTGGTAACCAGGCCTTCCCCTAAAACTTGGAATCTGCCCGAAACGCAGGCGAAAACCAGTTCAGCAACCTCAAAGCACCAGGTTTTTTATGCGCCCGTGACCAAAAAAGTGCGCTCCGGGACAGGTGGGCATTTTGGAGGCAGCACCAGCTGACGCTCTTGATGCAAGGTCTATAGGGATCTCGGAGAAGTACTAGGCGGGAGTGCAAGGATTGGGCGACGGGCGACGGAGGGGGTCCGCAGGGGGCGCGCAGGTCGACGAGCATTCAGGGGGTATCGCAAGAGGCATAAGGTGGGCCGGCTCCGAGCGGGGTATGGGTGAGGCTGCATCGGGTTAACGTTCTCAGCCTCTGGCTGCAACCCATTCGGTCTTGATTGTGCCCCCGATTGTTTTTGGGTTCCTTGCTTGACCTTGGGAAAGGCTATTTGTCTTGAATCCCAACAAAGGCCAAACTATGGGGATGGTCAGCTCGCATCATGTGTTAAGGTGCTGGTTCCGGACTTTGCTCCTCGCGTGAAGTGCAGCGGAAACCTTAAAGACTCGTGCTCACGCAAGGGAAGGAATTGGAGCAAAACGGGACTGACGCTTGGCACCCCAACTTGCGACGCTGAGGTCGATCTGTTTCTGAGCTATTACGCCCAGCTCACGAGCGAGGTGCTGCACAGCAAGCTTATGTTCGGGTTCTGTGGGCCGATGCAGAGCATGGTGCGCCAAAGCAATCGCCACCTTCATTGCGGACAGCACTGCGGGATTTGCTGGCTAATGGCGCCTTGGGCTACGACGCCGCTCATGCAAAGAGTTTGGTGCTGCACTACTTCGCCTTGCTCGATTGCGAAGCGTGTTCAGACTCTTCCGATTTGGAACCAGGCTTCATCCTGGCCTTCGACCTCGAGACCAGGTCCTCACAGTCGGCACAGTCGGGTAAGGGAGCTTCTGCAGAGACTGAGCCCGATGCCAGCGCTGGACTTTTTGACCTGTTTGCTGCGCACCCTGCACAGGGTCTGACCTTTGTTCTCGTTCGCACTTCCAGCGAGCCCAAGCAAAGATTCTGGGACATCCTGTGCAGTGGCCCTCATGCCTACTGGGCTTGGCATGCGCTTCTGCAGGCTGGACACGGCAAGCCCACATTTACAGGCTTTGCCAAGCTGAGAGCAAGAAAACATGGTGAGGATGAAGTGCCTGTGCCCAGCTGCCTGCTGTCCGCCACCTCGCTGAAAGCCGAGGCTGAGCAGGCTGAGCACTTGGACAGCGACCTGAGCCCCGATGATTTGGCTGCTGTGGCCTGGCTGCTTTGTGGTCCACAGGCCAAGGAGGCCCGAGATCGCTTGACTTTGGCCATGGAGGCAAATCGATCAAACAGATGTTGTTTGCCCTTCTGCCGTCGAAGTCCGCAACCCTTCAACTTCACAGGGACCTTAGCGTGCTGTGCAGAATTCGAGGCTTGCCTGCTGGCCAGAAATTGGCATGAGATGCCGTATCTCCTAAGCGAGGCTTTATCCTCCGGCGTGGAAGCGTGGGCGCTATGTGTCTCAGCTCTTGCGCGGCTTGCGCGCGACACTGCGGCCGCTGCTGCCAGATGCGGAGGCTTGCTGCCACTGCTTCATTCCAGGAGCCAGGACGTGACTCTTCTTCCTGAGGGTCCGCAGCTGCTGAGAAACGAAGATTTATCGTCTTATCCGCTGCTCACGGGCACAGACGTCACTTCGGCAGTGCAGGTTTGGCTTGCAGTCTGCAGGCCGTGTGCTCTGTGGATTATGGCCGGTGCTGCGAAGAGATACTGCCCGCCTGTGCCTCCCGTGCTGGGCGAGGCGTCTGGAGACATATGTTCTCAGGTGGTCAAAGCCCTGAGAGTAGCCGTTGGCACATTCGTGTCTGACGTCGTGGTCTCCGACGTCTGGGAGGTGCTAAAGCAGAAAAGTTCCTCAGGACGGTTGCTGCTCCCAAGACCAGGCGGTGGTTGGCTCTGGATCGAGCCCGAGAAGACCAACTGGTTTGCGGTCGAGGCAGTCGAGGCTGAGTTGTAATGCGCTGGCGGGGATGCGCTTGGCAGCACGAGCCAAAGTGCTCGCTTTTTCTCAAACTTTTGGATTCAGTCCTCAGAACCACTATTTGCCCTTCGCTTAGAACGGTTACCCAACGCTTCCATCCCGCTGGCCTTGGCACGTAGATAGATGTCGCTGGCTCGTGGCTGGCAGTAGCTCGATGCATGATTCCAGGGTGCTGCCACAGGCAAAAAGCCTAGCAAATTTGCACGCTGCAGCACCAGAGTAGCACCAGTCTAGTTCTGGATCATAGCCGTACAATTGTTCATGAATGCGCAGCAAGATCTAATAACACACCACGAGCTGTGATGTATAGAAGAAGTCAGGCAGATAGATATTGTGGCAACAACATGTGCTCCATCCGAATGCCGATTACCAAATGTGTCTCACCGGTGCCGTGCACCGCAAATCGTCTAGACTGCCTCGGCAGAAGAAAACATGCGGTGACCACACAAGTCGGACACATATGCTCAGGCCTGTTCTGCGACGTGTCTTTGGGACGTTTTCCGGAGTTTGCAGCCTTTGCCGCGGCCGTTGGGCTTCAGAGATTCCATGGCAAAGGAAAGCTGACGACAGGGCAGCGGGGCCCTGAACCCAGGCACGAGAGAGCCAGGGTGAAGGGGAAACAACCTCTGACAATCCTTCAGTGTCAGGCGCTCGCTATGCGGGCTGCGCGATATGCGTTGCTGGTGGGCTGAGTGACGGAAGACTTGCGAGCTTGGCATGTTTTGCTCGGGCCAGGGCGTCCTGACAACTGTGACAGCGGGGCAATGGCCTCAGGGCTTGTGAGACGTTGCATCGTTTGCTGCATGTGGCAACGTTGAAGGCAAGATCTGGGCCAGCTGAACTTGCTGGTAGATCAGCTGAACTACACAGCCCTCACGTCACAGGATCTGAGTTTGTGACCTCCCTTGCTTGATGACAAAAAGAGCTCCAGCAGGACTTGGCTCGACTGCCTGCCAAGCTTGGTGATAGCATCACCTCCTCCTTGGGGCTGGCGCCAGCACCTTACCGTTGAGTACTTTCAGCAGATGGAAGAAACAGAGGGCTTGCGGCTGAGGTTGGACGCTATCAGTGATGCGTCAGGTACAGTCGGAGTGGTGGACCTGCATCCAGGCAGCCATGCAGGGAATGGCTAAAACTTCACTCAGCTGCAGGGGCGAGAGCAGCATGATGCAGCCAGGCACCATGAGGAATGAGTGGATGCCAAGCAACTGGCCACTGGTCCAGCCAGGTAGGGAGAAGAAGATTGGATTCGGGTAGATTTCAGCACAAGCTGTAAACCGGAGATTCCCCATGCCATCACCTAGTATGTGCATTTGGCGAGGCAAGGCCACCTTGGTGTACGCACAGCTTCACCTGCCCACTCCTAGCATGGCTGCTGGCCTTTAATTAGCAAAAAACACGTTTCTACCATGATGCGTGGAAATCAGCTGCAAAGGCGTTCATCGCAGAGTCCACTCTGGGCGGATCGATGTTCGAATCTGAAATCCGCAAGAGGGCTGCTCCTGCATGTCTTACCTAGCAGTTTCAAGCGTCTAGAACTTGCTGCAATCTACAACTCTACGTGCCTGTAGCCTGTTCTAGACACCAGGTGCAAGATGCCATAGGCGCCATTCTCTGGTGTGAATGTCAGCCACAACTGGTTGGTGCTTCTGGCCTTGCGCAGCAGGCATGAGTTCGAAAGCCATGATAGGGCAAATCAGCGTTGATGCGGCCTCTGCCAGCATCTTGGAACTAGGGTCTGGGTTTTGGAGACGTGTTCTGCCCGTGTGGCCCACCCTAAGGTATACCAGGCCCCTGCCACCACACCCTCACCGTCACAGACGTCGCCGCCCAACAAGGCGCAACATGACAATTTAGAGGGCACCCTCCCCAACGGTGCGCTGCCGTTCTGCAATGATGTTAGAGCACACGCACAACCTATGGCAGGGGCAGCGGCTGCTGTGGTATGTTGGGCTGAAGCCTGAGTGCAAGCAAGACAGTTGCCCGAGAGTTGCCAGTGCCTGCCATGTTGTTGAGGCTTGGTGTCCTGGTGCTGGTTGGGGTTGGCATCTTCCTGTGTTGCGTTAGAAGTGCTAATCTCAAAACACAACCTCGCAATTCTGCTAGATAGCTTTTCCATTCCCAAGGTCTGTGCATGAGCATGGCAACGCCAAAGAACTTGTCCGGGTACGACACCGGGGGATTCTTGCAGGCCTGATGCCCTGGCCCCACAGCACAGCACAGGGACCTATGGTGCAACTTAAGCCAGGTGAATTCGTATGAGAACGATGTTCCCATTTACGAGGATCCCATGAAGCTGCCTTGCCCCTGTCAGCTTTTCTTCCAGAGTTGTCAAAGCTTCCAAATGCTCGAAAAATGTTTCTAAGGTTTCGTGGCCAAGGGCACTGACACATTGCAGAATCCAAGAGATTGTTTGCATTCATAGAGTTTCACTGCCGTTGCGGTTTTCTATGGTCATCGCGAGGTGCAATCCATCCTTCTGTATACAACTGTGGGAGCAAGGTAGAATTTGGCATGGGTAGCGCGAACGTATGCGATGACAAAGGGGATGCAAACTGGTGCAGGCGACAAGTGCGAACTGCACTCAAAGGAGGTCGCGCCAGTCAGGATCCATGTCTAAAGATGTCAAAAGGACACCTCGCTCTACGTAGTAGCTTTGGAGGATTGCGACAGGACTCAACCTTGTCCCACATCCTTGAGAAGCGGGAAAAGGGGAGTCATGGGGGCACAAGCCCTAGATTTTTTGTGTCAACCCGACAGGCTTGGAAGAATGCCATGGGGTGGTGCTCAGCTCAAGTCTGCTGAAACATATTGCATAGGATCAGCAACCTAACAGTTGCCATCATAATAATGCAGATGCAGTGGATGCTATCTTCTATGATTCAGAGGATGACCTTGCAACAGTAGTCAATCCTGACAGTAAGACTCTGGCAGCTCCACTTATCGTGTTTTGTAGTTAGTAGCTTAGTAGACCATAACATCTTCTCTCAGAAGGACACCTCAACCGACATCTTCAGCTGCTGGCCCGGTTTTCGCCCAGAATAAGTCGCAATGCGAACATGTGGCGACGTCAAAAGTCAAAGCCAGAAACACCAGCACTTCTCATCCCTACATACACATCAGCTCCGTGTAGAGCAGCGCTGCCACATGCCTGACAAACTGGTGCGTTGGCCCGTTTGGGGCGGTGTTTTTTTTTTTCAGGGTTGCCCGCCTTGTTGAATGTCTAAGGCTGCTGCTTCAGATTTCCAGAAAAACACCAGTTAGGACCATCAGGGCCTCCTTGGGGATTGCTACGGCCTAGAAAGGCTTGTTGAAGCTGGTTTGGGGCTTGATTTTGCGCTTGTGGTTTGGGGCGCCCTCTGGGGACCCTGGGAAGCATTGCCAGGATGGGTGGCGCTTGCCACCATTGCTGCGAGAAGCCAGAGGTGCCAGGACTCGGTTCTGAGTGGTTGGCAAGCAAAATTATGCGAGCACTGAGCTAGCTGAGCTTGCATGCTTTCATCGGCCTAGGCGGCTAATCCTGCGCAAATCTCGCACCAACCAGTGCAGAAGGAGCGAAGGAACAGCCAGGCAGGGTGCACTGCGGCAATTGCGCTCTCTTGTGTACAGTAGTTGCTTTTGTTGTGTCTACTCCTGCAGGGGGCGCATGACCTCCTTGATGGAGATCCATCTGCCACGATCTCACCTGCAGCCAAAGTACGAAGAATCGGGCTCGCTTGGAGCACCTGGGTCTCAGGCCTACTCTGGCACCCAGCTGCAGAAGAGAGCAAACTTACAGGTGCCCAAGATAGGATGCCGTTACCATGAAGAGGTTTCCACGAAAAGAAGGGCTATAGACTATCCACCCAATATACCTGCTTGCAGGGACTTCCAAAAGGGACGTCCAATTTCTATACAACCCCATGTGTTTTGCCATGCATGGACCGATGAAGGTGAAAGATGGCGGATTTGCACTTGGAAACTTCGCTGCCACCAACACTGGCCGCATAGAGGCTGGCAGTCGCAGTCGGGTTGCTTGAGCTTTTCAGCCTGGCGTGAAATAATGCCAAAAGGACTTCTACGAGCTGGAGAAGCACAAGCTGGGGGAAGGGGGTTTTGGCTCTGTGCGGCGGGGCAGGCTGGTCCATTGTAACATATCATCTTGATTCGCAGCATCAATTCATCATTCTCTCGACAGGGATAAGCGCACCGGGAGAGTCTACGCCATCAAGTCGATCAGAAAGAAAGGGGCACCTCCGACTTCCTTGTTCCGCGGGCAGCGCACATATCAGCCAGCACTTCCTTGGTACCAGGTCGAGGAGCCGCAGAAGCTCAAAGAAGAGATAGACATCATGCGGCTACTGGACCGACAGCTTGCAAACCAGCTGCATCAGCTGTTGAGCTACGACTCCAAGCCTTAGACAGGATCACCCAAACATCGTGCGATTCCAGGAGAGCTTTGAGGCAGGACCATGGACAGTGGTTTTTACGTAGTGTGCGTGTATGTATCCGGATGTTGCAGGATCACAGGCTTCTTCAATTGGTGTTGGAGCTCTGTGAAGGAGGTGTGATGCGATTTGATGCGATCTGAATGGGGTGCATGGGGGTGGTTTACTTCTGCTTTCTTCTGCCGTGGCAGGAGAGCTCATTGAGAGAGTCACAGCGCAAGGCTCCATCACGGAGAGGCAAGCTGCAGGTGGGAAGCCGATTGCCATGGCACTTGTTTCATTTTGTTTCATGGTTCTGCAAAGCTTTGGGAAGCCCTTCGCTGTTGATGGCGCTCATGTCCGCCGAGCTTTGCAAAGCATTGCGCAAGGTTGTGTACGTGACATGCTCCGGGCCATCAACTACCTTCACATGCCCGCGTCAGAGCGCGAAACTTTGGAAAATGCTGCTCCAATTGAGCTCACCGAGGAATAACATCATGCACCGTGTCGGGAGCCCAGAGAAAGCTCTCTTAGAGCACGGCTCTTACTGCGTGCTTAGCTGTCAGGATTTGAAGCCGGAGAACTTCCTGCTTGCCACAAAGGAGGAGGCTTCAAAGAAGAGCAGGGAGAAAGGGAGAAAGGGAGAAGCAAGAAATCTTCTGAAATGATTTGTTGAGATCGGCAAATCTTCACTGAAGCTCATCGACTTTGGCCTGGCCAAGCTTGGAGCCAAGGGGGCCCAGGGGGGGCGGGGCCCAGGGGAGAGAATGAGGAGCTCTAAAGACCTTGAGATCTCGTCGAGGCGCTTCAAGCCAGGTGAGCCTGTGCGTACAAAGGCTGGGAGCTGTAGGCTTTGCCTCGGAATGAGTTGATGCTCTCAGTTCTCAGCAGCCTGTGCAGGCTGGCACGCCCAACTATGTGGCGCCTGAGGCACGTTTCTGACGACAAGAAATTGTGCGCCTGGCCGCTTTGCTGCAGGTGCTTTCTGGGCGATATGATGAGAAAGTTGACGTGTCCACCTTAGTGGCCCTGCATGAGCTCACGATGTTTGTCACTGGAATGGGTGGTATGCGCCAGAAAAGCACGAACCAAGACTTGGAGCATTGGTGTGATCGCCTTCCTCCTCCTTTCCGGCAAACACCCTTTTACAGGAAGGACGGTCGAACAGGCGTGTCCAGTGAAATCACCCATGAGCTTAGCCAGTGTGCACCAGTCTTTTGCTACGTTGCTGGATGTTGCCAGGTCCTTCAGAAAGTGAAGAACGCAAGTTTTGTCTGGTCCTTATGAGCCCTCACAGCTGCCCTGATCTACAGCATCTGCTCTGACAGGTCACCGACGGAAAGCACTGGAAGGGGGTGTCGGCCGATGGTAAAGGCTTTGTTCAGGCCGCTGCCATGACGTGGTACCTGGTAGGTAGGATCCAAGAATCCAAGATTTCTGGCATGTTTTGGCCATGTCCAAAGCTGTGACCTGCCAATCAGGCCTGCCTGCAAAAGGTGCCAATGGCCCGGCCTTCAGCTGGGAGCTGCCTCAAGCACAGGTGGCTGGGTCCTCAGTTGATGTATCGAAACGCACACTTTTACGGATTGTCCTGTGTGTAGCTGGAGGGCGCAACTCCACTCAGGATCGAGCGCTTGGCGGAGAAAGACATGGATGGTCCAGTCATTGGCCTCCAGATCGAAGGTTTAGCGGCTTTTGGGCGCATGCACAAATTGAAGAAGGCGCACTGGGAAAGTATGTAATGTAGTCTGGGTCACAAGCCAGCAAGGCCAGCATAGCAAGATTGGAAGCCAGACAGCTCACAGGCCGTCGTCACTGTCATAGCCGCGCAGATGTCGGAAGAAAGGACGATGGCTTTCTCCGTAAGCATTGTGAGAGATGAGCGCCAGCGCTGAATATGAAAGCGCACAATGTAAAAGCACTTGATTCGGACACTCATTGTTCAAAAGGATAGACGAGCTTCGCCGGATGTTCATGGCTATGGACAGAAATGTGCAGTGCTCAGGCAAGCTCACTGTTACGCAGTCTGAATGCGCGGCGCATGTTAAAGGGAGATGGAACCCTGACCGTGGTGGAAGTTAAAGACGCCTTGGACAAGGCATTCTTGCAGCTTCCGGACCTTCGTAGACACATGTTTTCCAAGCTAGAGGAGCCCACGACAATGAGCAGCCCTCAATATACACGAGTTGCACCGCTCCCGTATTACAGCGTTAGCTGTTCACAGTATCTTTTGGTCGAGAAGTAATTAATCGTTTGGACTTACATCCCCCCCCTCCTTGCGAATTTTGCTTGGAACATTGCCAGGCTGGTATCGCAATGCCCGGTAACATGGAGCAGCTGCTCCACGAGGCAACGAATCTGATGAAGTTTGCAGGAGAGTCTGCGTTCCTTCTTTGTCTTCCTTGAGATTATTCACAAATAGCTCAATCAGTAGCACAAGAAACACGGTTTGTAGATGCTACTGTTATCTGGCAAAGCCACATTTGGATGCCGGTTGACCAACCCTGAAGCCAGTTGACACAGGGATCCCAAGCAGAGAGGAAGGGATTTGAAGGGGGTTGATAGGCTGATACTGATGGCTCCGGCGTCATCGACTACACAGAGTTCCTTGCAGCAACCCTTGACAAGAAGGTGTATGTGCAGGAGGGCCTGGACTTAAATCAGGGCTGAACGTGCACTCCAAACGATGTGCATGCGAGGAGGATATTGTCTGGACAGCCTTCAAAAAGTTCGACTTGGACAACAATGGAAGCATTGACATGAAAGAGTTGGCGCAGGCAAGATGTGCAATCAATGCCTAAGAAAAAGACATTTCTGCGGACGTGAATAGCTGTCCATGAGCTGCCATCTCTTCAGCTGTCGGGGCAGTTAGAAGTCAAGTGTGACGGCGATTGCCGCGGACACACGCACTGGTTGTCAAGTTGCCACCTACCGTACTGGCATGATGGTGATGGAAGCAGGTCATCGGCGACGAGCAAGTAGTTGAAGCAATGAACCTCAAAGACAGTGCCGCAGCTGCACAGTCCTTTTTTGCTTGTACTTGAAAGTGGCGTCAGCATGCACCGAAAAGAGGAGAAGAGCAAAAAGCATAGAGAGAGGCGCAACATCTTTGCTGGTGCTGAGGAGGCGACGTCAGCAACTTGGTCCACATTTTCGAGCAGGTTGACAAAAACGGCGCTCGGGGCTCAGTGACTGGCGTTGTGATGAGGTGCTGGAGCACAGTAGGCACAGAAGGTAAAGAGAAGCTCGCAGGATGGTAAGATCGACTTCGAAGAGTTCTTCCAAATGATTCGGGGCGTTGAGAACAGCAGTCAGTCGCCAACCTCGGCTGGGGCGGTCAAGCCTGGGGGTCTCCGCGATTCCCCTATGCATAAGCAGAAGGAAGAGCAGAGGCAAAAAATGAGCAGTGCCTTTGGCAAGATTTTCAGGGAAAGATGCCTGCGCGTACGGGGAGCGCCTCAGAACTAGCTTAGCTGTTAGTGTTTGTTGAAGCTCGCCAGGTCTGCTAGAGGACTTTGACGAAGATGATGGGGGCCCGGTTCAAAAGAAGGCCAGGTGACGTTGGCATTTGTGGAAGCAAGGTTGTGCCCAAGTTTATGCATGTGAGGCATGTGTGCACGTATCAATACAAGGTGATATGAGCTTTGTCCGGATTGCTTCTTGAGCAGCCCATCCTTGCAGGCCAGCCTGTCTGCAAAGATCCTCTACTGACCTCGAGAGGCTCGCAAATGCCACAGGGACAAAGCGCCCTTCAGCTCCGATCAGCATCTGCATCTTCGCCAAGAGCAGTCCAACTCCAGGCTTCAATGATTTCGGCCTTCAGGGGCAGTGACAAATCTTCATGTGATCGGAACTCATCGCAGAATTTCACTTCAAGTGGGCTCATGCCCGACCGTTTCACTCCTGGGCTTCCCGGGCAAAGCCGCCCGCAGCTTCTGAGAAAAGCAGGCATGCTACACTTTCAGCAGATGACAAGCGCTGCAGCTGTTCGTTCCGTGCCATGCAAACATGTAAAGTTGCAAGTCCATGACGCCAGAAATAATTGCCGGATTTCGGCTCGAACAAGGAAGCCAGTTTGTTGCCTAGGAAAAAACACAGAATGCGTCTGAGACTTGAATGGATTTTGCTTTTCTGTGCTCTGCACCTTGGAGCTGGTGCGCGCCAGAGCCGTAACGACGTGAGCGATCACGTGAGTTCTGCGAGTTCTGTGAGTTCGGTGAGTCCCTGCGCACCGCTGGATGGATGCGACTGCTGGCAGACAAAGGCACAGGGAGAAGGGCTCGGGACATTGTTGCAAGTTTTTTTGCCGGGCACCGCCAGGTTTGCAGTTCTTGTTCACTGCCGGAGTGTGGCATTCAGCATGTTCGGAGCGTCACGGCGCTCTCCGGTGGAACCAACCGCTTGAGCGAGGGTTTCGCAGCAGCCTACGGCTTGGAGGATTCTGCTGGAAAGCGCTGGGCTCTGAAACTTGCGGACCAGGTGAACGACTCCTACCAAGAATCCGTGCTTGCCTCACAGCTTGCACACAGATCCTTGGTGTGGGCGATGACTTCTCAGCTTTTTTAGAGGGGGAGATGGGGATGCAGATCACTGCGAAGTGTCTTGAGTGGCGTACTACAGTCCCCAGCATTTGTCATATTATGTGCTGTGTAAGGTCAGAAATTACCCTCCTTTGGTAGTATTTGATAGGAGGAATGGTCAACCAATCAAAATGTTATTCAGATAGGATTGAGCCGACAGTGGTCTAATGAGAGCAGAACACAGACCTCGCTGTTTCCTCACGAGCAAGCTGGTCTTCGTCTTGGGTAGGGCTCTCACGCATACCAACTCTGGCATCTGGAAGTCTAGTCTGAGCCTGCACAGTCAGAGCTCCAGCGTTGAGGGCTCAAACATTTTAAGCAATGCAAAAATGGAATCACGATCCTCATTTTGATGTTGGCTGTAGGATACAAGCCACGGCCCGCCTTTTGGGGAGCAGCTTGTCACGTTAAAAAGTGCTTTGCCAATTAACACAAAGCAACCGAGGATTGGGCGTGCCAACGCCAAGGGTTCTGCAAATTTCCTTGGCTTCCTGCCCTGCCGTGTTCCAGCATGAAGGCCTGAAGGAGGCCGTGGCAGAGTTCCAGAAACAGAAGAAGCAGTGGGCCTTGCTGCAGGAGATCAGGGAAGGTAGCAGTCGCATAACGTATTTAATTAGAGGTTGCACCTGTGGCGGAAATTCAAGTGCAGCGCCGAGGAGTTTGCCAGCGAGGGCTCCGAGCTTCCCTGCACTGCGAACGGTCAGCCCTTCTGGGTGCAAGTGGGTCAGATTGCCATGTTCGACTGGCTTACGGGGCGGAATGATTTGTTCAACGATTTATTCGTGGGTGGGGAGATGGCGTTGGCTGAAAACATGGTCCACAACAAGGACAACATAGTAACCTCTCCGTCGCAAGCTGTGGAGATTGACTTGGGCTTCTCCACACCCTGCTGCCTAGACGACTTCACTCAGATATTGGAAGAGTTAGGGCACAAGAAGCGGATTGACTGGGTGGAATCCCACATTCTGGTATTGATGTGCGAAGGCAGGCGCGGTGGCTTGGGCTCCAGCACTTGCTCCTCGGGCTTCGGCCGCTACGGGCCAGAGCGGCCGAAGGGGTGGCATGATGAAATCTCAAGAATCCAGGCATGGGCCAGGGGCCCTGCCAAACCTGCTAAGCTACGTACTTGCTTGCTGTTGTAGGCTACCGGGCTTTGAGTAGCCAGCTGGTCTACTCCGCTTTGGTTGAAGTTCCCTGCGACCTCAGAGTAAGTAAGTATTGATGTAACAGCACATGGAGAATCAAAAGAACATCATATGAACACTGGGGGTTATATAGGTATCTTTCCGCTGCAGTGCGACCCGCCACCCAACCCAAATGCCCCGCCACAGATTGAGCGCGGGCTTGCGGAGACTGCGGTGGAGGCCTTGACCTTGACAGGCCAGGCGGGGGCTGAACGTACCAGTTTTTTGCAAGTTATCACTTTGTTGTATTCTTGCCTATCTTTGCTATGGCTGCAAGGACAACTCCATTGTTAAAGGGCTGGAAAACCAAGCTCCAGATAGCAAGAACTTTGTACGATGCAGCCGGCAGGCAATCATGGCTGGTCATATCCGATGTCTTCGACTTTGCAGCTGCTTCAAGAAAAATGGCCACTAGACGTTGCCGAAGGCAACTTGGGCAACCTTCGCGCACAGGCCATGTGTTGCCTTTAGCAGTCTCTGCAGCTTCTGCACCTCAGGGGAGATTGGCTGGGTGTGCAAATCGTAATCCCATTTTCCTTTTTTTGGCCCCACAATCGTGGATGCTGCTGCAGTGCGAGAGCACCGATAGACAGTTGTAATGAGATGACACCGTGAAGCTAACTGGCAGGAGGACGCTGCGATCGAATCTCTGGACAAAACGCCTCCCCTCATGAAATGCTGCAGCGTTGATTGCCAGTATCGGGGTCGCTTATGGATTTGGCACCACTGTGGCTTGGACGCACTGAGGTCTGTTTAGGCTTTTCCGTGCACGCTGCACTTTGGCTTTCTGTTTCCTATGGGAGCCTGCTACCCTGAACCTTTCATGCTGGGTGTCAGCACACATGGCAAGGTGGACAGAAAGCTTTGAAAACAATCCCCGTTGCACAAGATTGCAACATACGACTAAACGCTTCACAGCTGCACCAAACTTCATGTGACAATGTGCAGTCGGTGTCAGCTCCTTACAGAAGCTGAGCAAAAGCATTGCAAGGCCGTGGCAAATTCGGTGCACTGCACTCCGATGTGCAACGGACATAGCAAAGTCTGGGGCGAAGTGGTGGAGAGCACTGGCAACTGCCCGGCATAGTGGACTGGCCGAAAACGACACATCTTTGCTGATCTCGTGCGCTGGTGATCAAGCAGGAGACAGGAGATGTCAAGAATTCATTTGCGTTCCATGTTGGCCATGCCATGCCTTGTCTGACAATCCCCTGACAGCTGGACACTTGGCTCAAAGGACAATGAATAGCAGAGGCAGATGTAAAGATCCTGAGCATGATATACGTCTGAAGCAGCAGCTTGCATCATCTCAAAGCTGCAGGCGCAGCTCGAGTCATTCGGTATGAGATACATGAACTAATCCAGTCACAGGTGCTCTGCCATGATCTGTGCTAGACTAACACAACCTTCAATGCCCTTGGTCAAGACAAGCAAGTCACACCCACCCCGACTCGTCGTAGCTTGTTGCTTGTAAATCCTGTCGGCAGTGTATAGGATGTAGCTTACTTGCATGGCCGGCTTCCGTGCGGGCAGCTTGCAGATCACGCGGTCTTGGGGAGGGCATGAAAAACGAAACTGTCCCGCTGTTGAAGAGCGGACTTCGCGACGACAGCAGCGATGCCACCTCAACGCGGAACTACTCGAACAACCAGGCCAACAAATCTGCAGCGGCCAATGCCAACGGGCCATCCACGCTTTACGAGATCTCGGTCCACCGCTCACGCAAACGGACCTTGGAAAAGGGCTTCGACGCGCGGGGCAGCTTCGTGCATTTCGCCCATCGCAGCCTAAAAAGCGTCATCCAGGTTCAAGATGTTCTGGACCGCCCAGGCGTCAGAAGCTTCCTGTACCGAGCTAAATGGTTCCGGAGGCCGAGCATGGTGCGCCTACGGAGCTTCATGACGGGGACGTTCGTCACCGTCTGTTCCTTTGCCAGCTTGCTGATTGCACTCTTTTGCAGTGACGTCTACGCTTTTCTGGGTGCCGGCGGCTTAGTGAAGTCAAGGTCTCTGCAAAATCCTGCAAACCCTTAAGCCCGGGTGCACGCCCAGAATTGCTCAGGCTGCAGACAGCACCCAAAGCGATATGCTGCTCTCAATCGCATTTGTTTTTTTTGTCCTTGAGTTTCTCGGGAACTCTTTATCTGACAAGTCCAGCCCTCGGATTGGGTAACACATCATGCAGATCTGCTGAGCGGCTGGTCTGCACTGTGATGGCAGTGCTGGGCAAAGGACCTACTTGCTGAGCTTCTTCTTCTTTATGGACTTCCTTGGCACGTTTTCGTGTTCCCTTCGCGTCTTGCACGGACCACGTGCGCTGCTTGTGACTCAAAGTTAGACAAGCAAGTGTCTCGTTGCCAGGATGGTTTTTGATATCTCGTATCTTTTTGGAGCTGACGTCTCCAAGTTCGACAGGCATGGCAGAAGCTGGGTTGAAGTCCACATGGTGCCTGCAACTACCGCGTTTGAATGCTAATCTCCTCGCCATGCCTAGGGCCAAGAACATCTATGCATTAGCCTAAGTCTGCTGTCCCAGAAGTCAATAAGCAACAACGAGACGAAGAAGCAGCAGAGAAACTTGATGTTCCTCATCCAAACCCATGAATAATATGTGCTGCGCGGGAACGCTTTGAACGCCATCGGCCTAAGCATTGGGACATGCGCAAGCACAAGTCAAATATGACAAAGTTGCCAGCATACCAGAGAGCATAAGGGTATCAACGGGTGTCATCAACGAAACTCAGTTGAAAAAGTGAACATCACCCGGCAGCACCGGTGACACAGTCGGGACACAGGGACAATGTTTAGCTAGACTTGTGCTTTGCCTCAGTTCCCCTTTGCAGGGCTGCTTAACATTATTGCAGCAGACGTTGTGCGAATACTGAAGCCTTATGATTCGTGTGGCGGTTCTGAGTCCACGTCTGATCACAGGTTAGACTTGGAGGCGAAAGGGGGAAGTGGTGCTCCTTGGCTGCACCATGGCAGAGCCGCTGGCAGAGCCGCTGGCAGAGCCACAGGTTAGACATGTACAGGAGGCTGCAGCATGGTCGGTTGGTGAGGTAATGATTGTACGAGCTGCCCGTGCTGCGCGCGTGGGCACTCGGGCTGGACGGCTAAGCCGTGCCTGGAGCTGAGACCAACTTCGCTGGAAGGCCGTAAAGGGGACGCCTTATGGATTGAAATCCTTGTGTTTCATGGTCGGCCAGCATTTGACTGAGCTTGCACAGAAGTCAGAATTGAAGCGCATATCTGTCAAGGTCGCCAAAATAGTGCGCTTCCTTTCTGGCGGGGAGGACTCGTCCCACAACAATGCCTGCGTCCTACCCTGATATGGAGCTGGGAAATCCTTAGGATGAAAAGATACATTATTTTTTGACATTCTTGCCCACAACCGGTTCTTGCGCCTCGCAGCAAGACACGTGCTTTCGTTTTGCAACATCACAGCCCTCCTTGTAAGGCAAAAATGGCAAAAGTGATTTCCAACAAATTGTTCCTACCTCAGATCCCAACCTGCTGACTGCTGGGTTCCTCAATACCTGTGGAGGTCCGATGTGCTCTCAATTCGCATAGCATTTGTGGTGATCATCATCGCAGTGGTCTTCCCGTGCCGTGCTGTGCTGAACCCGGGTGTTAGCAACTGGAAAAGGGCCTGCTTCTGTTGAGGTCCTTCAGCATCTTCGAGTATCCGGCCATGGAGGAGTCCATGGCGGCTTGGACAAACTTCCTGGCAGAGGAAATCGAAAGCTTCCAAGCAGGTGCACCTGACATGTCTTTGTATATATATATATATGGGTACAAGGGTATACCCCCCCTGCATTCCGTGCAATTTCTTTATACAATATGTATTTCCTTATACAATATGTTGTCATAGAAAATGTTCTGCTTTTCGAACCTTCATTATACACTATGGTTTACACATAAGATGTTGTGCGTTTCGAAACATGGGCTGTTTCGAAACAGGCAGTGTAGACCACTGAACCATTGAAGCATTGAACCAATGGGCTTTTCCCTTATGGAAATCCAGTAAAGCATTGACTTTCGGGTTTCCATATGGGGAAGAACATTGGTTCAATGGTTCAATGCTTTACTGGATTTCCATAGGGGGAAACCATTGGTTCAATGCTTCTATGGTTTACTGGATATCCATAGGGGTAAAACCATTGGTTCAACGGTTCAATTGTTCAGTGGGTTAGCGGTCCAATGGTATCCCCACTTGTTTCGAAACAGGCCTTGCGTTTCGAAACACACGGTCAAATCTTTCGATTCAGCCGAATATATCTTATAATACTTTACTCAGATCTATTATCAAGTTATAGAAGTTGAAATCCGGTGGGGCAAACCACGTAGCATCTCCATTTGGAAATGTGGATTTGTTCGAACACCTTTGTGTTATACAACTATCTTGCCCATATAACCCATCCAGGATTCCAAGGTTTTCTTTCGATGTATGATTAGGTTGTAAAAGGGATTTATACAAAGGCAAGCCATCTGTAAAACCAGAATTCCAGGATTCCAAGATTTCCCTTTGCTTCTAAATGCTACCTTTGTCTTGTTCTCATTGGTAGCACCTAGTTTGATTTGTCTTAAAGAGACAACTGCACTGATATGCGCACTTTTGGGGTCTCCGCTTTTGGGGGTCTTATAAGTATCGCATAACATAGTAACATTAAAAGAGAAAGCTCAAATTCACCGCTATTTGCGGTGCTTTTGACATAGTCACCCAAGTAAGTAGAGGGGAGAATCCTGTGTAATAAGAGTCGAGGTAGGTCTGGGGGCGGGGTTACCATATATATATATATATGTATATATTTGGATAGATTTCCCTCCCAACAGGCCGCAGCTCTCAAGTCGAGCTTGACACCGCAGCCAGGCAGGCTTGTGGCAGAGTGTTTGTCAGCAAACAGCTCTATCAAGAGGACCTTTCGAAAAATTGCCAAGCAGTTTTCAGAAGCACGCTGATTCAATACAGGCATGTGGCACATAAGTCAATGTGGAAGTGACGTGTGCTTATGCTCAGGCGCATGTCTTCCTTCTACCAGTCCGTGAGTTACGGGCCTTTCTTGGCTTGTTTTCGCGTGCACAACATCAGCGCTGCTCAGGAGTGTTATGCAGCTTTACATGTTGCTGAGAATGTTAGCTTGAATTTGGGGAGCCAGGAGCTCGTGGACTGTGAAGGTGGTGGAAACTTGAAGGTATCCTTCAACACCAATTTCTCCCGCCCTTCACGTGGGGAATTCCTGTTGGTCACAAGTGAGAGCCTCGAGATTTTATCAGGCCGTAAGTAAAGTATGTGACATTTGCAGCTATTGCGAGGTGCTAGACAGCTGGACGTGTTCTTTGACTTGACGGCTCCAAAGCGTTTGGAAGCATTGATGGGCATCAGCCTAATCGCCTTCAGCATTGTGGCCATGCTTGTCTTTGGCCACTTCGTTGCATACACGCGGGGATCGAAGTAGCATTTGCTCTCGCTGGCTGGCATAAGGTACGTTCCTAAGCGAGAACATCTCCACAGTGGCCATTGCCCCCATGGAGCGGATGCTCGACGTCGTTCGACATCGCTGCGCTCAGATCTTCAAGTACACTGCAGAGCTTCAGGCAGAAGTGTTGCCAGCGGAAAGTGGCAGCAATGAATGATGATCATGTTTCTTCAGGAGGACGTTGAGAGTGATGCTGAAGATTCAGATCATGAGCACGACTCCGAGGAGATGGAGCTGCAATGCCTGAGTCTTCAAAGTCAAAGGGCAGATCCATAATTCACCTTTGTGGAAGAGGTTAGGATTTGGCGCTCACACAAGCATGAACTCCCCGAGGAGGTGCAGAGCAATGAGTTTGAACTGCTCGAGAAGGCGGGGCAACAGAAGCCGGTTTCACCAAGAGAAACCCGAATCTCCAGCAGCAAGGCTGTGTCAAAGCTCTCGGCCATTGCGAGTTTATCCGCTGCGGACGCGCCAAAAGAGACTGAGCCACTGAATGAAGACGACCTCCTGGCCAGGGTCCTAGGCAACACCTGTGCCTCCGTGCGTCAAGGTATGGTGACCCGAAAACTGAGTAGCCCGTGCTGTCCAGGATGAGCAAGATTCTGTTGCTGCTGTGGTACCGAGGTGATGAACTGGACACACGGCCGCGGCTTCATCACTTATGAGGTTGATTTCGGGACCGGGACGACCCAGGGCGCTCCTGTCACCAGGCGTGCTCGAGTTTGTGTGTCCGGCATTACCTTCCATTTTGCGAGTCCTAATAACCCGCCTGGATATTTTTATTGATCAGGACCAAAACTCCTGTCACGCAGAAGGCCTTGCCCTTCTCTGTACCAATGAGAACTGCAGAGTCTGTAAAAACATGGCAAGCAGAGGACGTGATCGGCATCGAGCTCCTGTACCAACAAGTGCCTTCCGAGATGTTGGCCCTTTCCAGGAGCCATCAGCTCCGCTTACATTGCAAACGAAACATCTCATCATGACATGCATCAACTGCATCAGGCATTGCATGGCTAGTGGGCGTTTGAAGCAGGATCTTGATGATAATGCGTGCAGTTGAAGTTGCAAATTTCATCATCTTGTGCACAGCTGAGATTCAGTTACGCTATAGAAGACACAGGACAGAAGATTTCAATGCGATGGAGCCTACTACAAGCCAAAAGAAGGCAAGTCACTTGGGTCATCTTCAGTCTCCCTGGTCAAAGATCAGCATGAAGTCGAGTCGCGCTTTCAGGCGCTCTGTGCCATCCACCTGCTCGATAACCCGGGGTGCAAGGATGACCCTTCAGGTTTTGCTTTTAAAGGGTCAGTTGTTGGGCGTCGCCCTGAAGTTTCGTGCAGGACTTTGTGCGTGGCTCAATCAACCCTGCCACCCTGACGCACTTCGTGAACGTAGCTGAAGAGACGCTTGCCTGGCAACAATTCGTGCTTGTGTGGCGATCATCATCCAGTCTTGTCAGGGAGATGTGCCCAGCTGAGGAACTACTCCTCATCCGTTCCTTTCCACAACTTCGGGCACAGCCTGGATGTTTTGTGCGCCCTATCCTTTCAGATGTGTCAGACGCAGGCAAAGATGCCTCCACACTGTAGCTTGAGCAGTCGACTCCCAGAAAACCCGTTTGCTCAGACTGAAGTTACTGGGGCCAGAGGAGGTTTGAAGCAAGCTCTCCTTTACAGCGCAGCCTGAAGCAGGCTCCGGTCTTCATGTCCAATGTTGAGCAGACCCTCGCCTGCACCAGCTGTTGCATTAGCTGTTACTTGCTGAGGTTCAGGTCGCTTGTCGTTTTGACATAGCTTTGGCAAGGTTTGGACTGCTTGTGGCAGCGGTGGGCCATGATCTTGGACACCCCGGGGTGAATAATCCTTTCCTGATCGAGCCGAGCTCTTGGCTTTTCACAAACTTTGAGAGTTGCGACCGGAGGGGGATACTAAGGACACGGCATGAAGTTGCCGTGACCTACAATGACAGATCGCCCCTGGAGAACATGCACTGCTCCAAGCTTTTCCAAATCCTCCGGGAGCCGGAGACGAATGTCTTCATGACCCTGGACAAGGCTAGCCTGCAACCCGCTTCCCTTTGTTGAATCAATGCCCCAATGAAGGAGACCTACAAGGAGCTGCGAAAGGACTTGATCGAGGCTGAAGAGGCGCTTTTTGGAGTCATTTTTCAAGCCATTTTCGATGGAGGCTATCTTGCACACAGACGTGACCAAGCACAACGAAATGGTAAAGGACCTGCAGAGTGAAGTGACGTGAATCTTTCAAGTTTTGCAGCATCCAGGATCTAGCACTCTTCTACCAGATGAACTCAGACACCCTCAGCTTGCTCGGCCATCGCGAGATGCCTAATGAGGCCGCTAGCTTTGCTGTACTTTCATCCCCTCTCTGATTTTCTTTGCCAATCACTTTACGCTGAGAAGAGTTTCGAAAGGTGCGGGAACTGCTGCAATCCAACCGCAGCGGCTTAATGAATGGCCTCTTGCATTCAGCTGATGCACCCCGGCACGCAGAAGCTTTCACCGCACCCATCAGCCATCCGTGAAACCGAAGGTGAACAATCCTGCCAAGCCCTGGCACGTGGCCCAAAAGATGGCCTACCTCTGCACCTTGGCCCCATGAGTCCCGTCCTCTAGCTAAGTATGACTTGCAAATATACCAACTGTGGAGAACAAAATGGAAAAAAGACATGGGAGCTGGAGCTTGTTCTGTAGGAGGTGCTTTGTGCCTCCCAGGTATGGATGAGTTCTTTGCACAGGGTGACCGGGAGAAGGAACTGGAAATCCCTGTTGGCATGTTGAACGACCGAGAGAAGGTGAACAGGCGCTCACATGCGGTTTGCTGTGCGAAATGGGCGCATCATACAATTGGCCAAGCTGAATTTCCAGGGCCAACTCCCAGATTGGGTTTATTGAGTTCATGATCACTCCATTTGTTGAGGCGCCATCAGAGTTGCATGCTATTGCCAGGTGTAGGTGTGTGTTGCTTCTGTATGATTTGCTGACCTTGAGGCATTAGTTTGCATCTTCCCAGATTTGGATGATCTTGCAAACAACACGTCTCAGAACCTTGGCGCTGTGTGGCATCACAGTGCTGCATGCATGAGCCTTCTTGTAGAAGCAACCAAGGAACATAGAGAACTGGGCACGGCTATGGCAAGCCGAGGCACCAAGACCTTTTTGGGGGTTGCTGGAAAGAAGCCACGCTGACTTTGGAGGCAAGTCCTCCTCCGGAGCAGGTCGAGAAGGTAGCCGTGCGTGTTCAGAAGGCACAAGGGTCCAGGGTCATGCTGCAGATGAGGCATTGCAAGTCTGGAGCCTTCAAGTAGTCAGTGTCACAGAGACCGGTTACCTGATGATGTAGGCAGATGCACATTATCCGATTCTCACATTGAACTTGGTTGAGAGGTGGTGGCCAAACTGGCTGCAGCAGGCAAGTCAAGAGGTTTAACGCCCCAGACACCAGGCTCCGTCAGCAGCTCAGGGCACAGGGATGACATTGAACCGAATGTCAGAAGCTGCCACTTCTAGTTTGCTGGAAACTCAAGCCGAAACTGCGCCAAGGTTCCTACCAAAGACTCTGCGTAGCGTGGTGTGGCTTCCCGATGTTTTCGCTGCGTATAACTTCGACGTTGGGCTAGAATCGCCCTGAAAATGGACCGGCATCGTAGGAAGAAGCATTTCAGATGTGAGGTTGATTCTGATTAATGACGTAGTAGCTACTGTACGTAACAGTGATTTCCAGGCAGTGGTACTAGCAGTGGTGAGCAGGGCTGCTAGTCTGTGAGCATGCAGAAAGCCTACATGAAGATTTTTTCGGCACGGTACCCAATAGCTAACAGCGATGCAAACCATGGCATTGACACAAATAAGCCTTGCGCATCAGGAAGGCACGTAGTAAATGAAGACGCCTTGCACCACTTGAAGTGGCGAGAAGGCACGCATCCCCAAAGAGGGATGTGGGTGATCATGCAAATGATCAGTGAAGCGTGAAGAGTATGCGAACGTGCTGTGTGCAGTGGTGTTGTCAGCTTGTTGTTGCCTAAGCGAATCCGCTTCCCTGTTGAAGACCGACCGACCTCGAGACGCTGCTTTTCAAGTCTTGTCCTTGGATCTAGAAATCTGCAAGCTTCCTGTTTAGCAGCTTAGCAAGTGCATTCAGCACGGTCATCAGCCAGCTGCTTAGTTGAGCCCACAGCAATGGCAGCCGAAGATCGCATCTCCTTTTCTGTAACAGAATCCAACAGACGAGCGGACTCGCCGGAACATGGTCTGCCTCCAAGCATCCAGTCCAGCGTGCATGTTGCGGCGTCAAGTTGCGAACTCAGACCCTGTCCCGGGGGATCATGATTCGGAACGCTGTAACTTTGCTTGGCTATTTGGCCATAGCGGCTTGTGAAGCTGGGATTGGCGATGGGCGATATCACAAGCTACCCGGGACAGCGGACTACGAGCTGATCAGTGCATATGAGGACTTGGTCTCCACCATCACCAATCATGTGGACTTGGGCTTGCAGGACTTACCAAAAAGACTGATCCTCTTCAGCGTGTGGTACATTGCTTCTCGAAGCTTGAATGATGCGCTGGGAGGTGGCGACTGTGCATGTAAGGAGGGCTCCCCCAAGTCCTTCAAGCCTTACGTCCGCACGAGGATCTGCAAACTGGATATGTCTGCCGTGCAGACGGTGAGCCCGTTTCTCTTTGGCGAGGATCTTCCCAGCTCTGAGCTGACACCAGCCGAGCTTTGGGCGCACGTTGCCAAGCGAGCTTTGTACCTTTCTGAAATCAGCCGGACTTACCCTGGTGTCATAGCAGAAACATCTTTTCAAGCATCGATGCTCTCGCTGTCGCACTTGGCAACTTCTCTTCCTGAGTGTCCTGAGCTAAACTTCTAGCACATGCCTTTAGTCGTGCTTTCAGCGTCTTGCAGCCCAAGTCGCGCTCCATGTCTAATCTTCCTGTACCTGCTTCGCTGCTGCAAGTCATGCACCACTGGGCTTGAACAGGCTGGGGACAACTTGGATGAGCGGGAGACCACCCAGACTCGTGTGTGAAACTTAGCACGTGTCCGTCAGTTGGATTTCCGCGCTTGTATGCTCAATCTTGAGCTTAAGCCATGCCGCAAAACTCGCTCTTGAGGTTACCGCATTGCACCGCCGATGACTTTGCTGGAGCCTTCTGGTGGGAGGGTGTGGCGTCCCACAGCAGCGAGCACTGGCTTTATCCCGTCTTGAACAAACTGGGGGAAGGCTCACACGTTGGAATGGTCTTACGCCCATCTCCTGCTGTCCTACTGCTTGAAGAGGGCTGTGAACTTAACCCCAGGATGCCTTTGATGCAAGACCCGATTCGGTGCTTGCAAGATTCTGGCGGCTGGGATGTGGTCGCCATGGTCGATGGCTTGGACAACTTCACAGCAGTCAGTGCAGAACAGGGCCGCATTCCCGGAACAGTGGTAAACGAGACCTTCCGACTGGACTGGAACAAGGAAGGTAAAGTGACAAGTTTCAAGTTTGGCAAGATCGTCCGAAGCCCCAGGCGCGTTCCTGGACCGAGAGGTACACAGCTGCTTCTGTTTTGCTTGTGAAGTCTGAGCATGTTTTGATTTTGAGATTGCATCAATGTGGGCCAAGGGTGGGCGAACGGCAATGCTTCCTAGAACGGTTGATATCCTTGTGGTCACACCTCAAGGGGGCAACTGCTACGATGCAGCAGAGATGATTCCACCTGTTCGAAGCAACATTCGTCTCGTCGTGGTGCCCATCAACCCGCTCTATGCACCACCCACGCGGCTGGTGCCTGACTTTGCCGGCACACTGCCTCAACGTAAAGGACTGGCTGATCTGAAATCCAATGACAGGCACAAACTGCAGCGGCTTCTCTTTCTGATGCATTGCTCCCTGCAAAGCGCTGTGGATCTCATGACGCCACGTTTCGTTCTGCTGTTTGTTGACGGAGCGCGCGCTGTCTTTGCGGAACGATCTATAGTTCCGCAGCTGCATTTGAGCTCCCTCATTGCTTGTGCAGGCACCCAGGGCAGCATTCGCTTGTGAGCAGCAGAGGCCCACCGATACTGCACCCCCGTGGGCAGTGGGGAAGCCTGTGCTCCGCTTCAGACGCTCTGGCATCGTGGAGCAAGCTGTTCGCCTGCCACGCTGCAGCTAATCCCGAGAGAGAATGACCAGCCACTGAAGGAGGCATCCAAAAGCACCAGCTGAGAATTTAACCTGAAGATTCATCAAACCAAAATTCTGGGTCGGCCGGCATGTGTGTTTTTTGCTGGCAATACGGTGGATGGAGGAAATCTTGCACCACTTGGGATTCCCAGTACTGTAACTACTGGGGTACGGTATAAGGTTCATCAGGTGGGGCAAGATTTCCTCCATCCACTGTATCTTCTCTTGCGTTGCTGGTGCGACTGACTCAGTCCAGTGACCCCATCATTAGGGAGGTTCCGCCTTCTCCGCCCTCATGCATTATGTAGTAGTGTCCCAAAACAGGGAGACCCCAAAGCCCCTAATCTAGGGACCCCAATTTTCGGAAGCCTTCATGTGGACAGTAGCCAGGATTTGTGGGACTTGAAGATCCAGGTGAGAAGAATCCCTGTCCCCCAGTGTTTAAACATTACTTCAATCTCTCTTTTTTTTTTGTGATTTCAGACGTTTTCTGCCTCCTCATAACATGCGTCTCCAACAAATATGGGGAAGGGATTGGTAAGTGTTGTAGCTATGGTCTGCAATGGCTTCACAGACTCGCTGTTCTGCTCCTTCTCACACTCACCATGAATGTGCTGTTGATGATTCTTGTGTTCTTGGGTCTCATTGTGTAGTCCCTGTTTTGGCATATCATTGTTTCAGCAGCAGCTACGGTCAGTCAATACTCGTAAGTTGTGATTCATGGGCATTGCAACTGGAAGTAGTGTCAGGGTAATGGCCTGCAGGTGGAGAATCTGCCATTGGCTACATGGCCATGCAGAGGCTATGAGGACCTTTAGTCTTTCAATTTGATTCAATGCTTGAGCCCCAAAAGGGTTTGAAGATGATTCCTGCTGCCTTTATTCAAGGGCTTGGTCTGCCAGTGTAACCACGCCATCTCTTGAGGTCTAGACTCCGTGTCGTTTGCATGGGAGGAAATGGATTTGCCACAGCTTACCGTGGACATGCTGGACAGGCCACAGTTCCAGAAGAGGCGAAGTCTCCGGGAGTGTCTACTCACAACGCCAAACCAACTCCGGATGATGAGCAATTCCAACAGTTGCAGGTGTGTATACTTTGCAGTTCTGATTCTCCTTGGCAATGCCTATCGACTACTACCATGTGTTACAGAGTCTGAGGAGCCCCCGCAGCTCTACATGTGCTAGGGATCATTTCCGCATGTTTCCGCAAAATTGTTCCATCATGCTTCGCGAGTTGTCTTGTAGGGAGCTCTGCATGTTCTGCTGGGTGTGTTGGAGATAATCCGAGTACTTCACACAGGGCTTAGGGCGTTAATGATGGAGAGGCACTACTACTCCCAGGGCATGACGCAGTGCCACACCGCAATCCCGTACCAGGCCAGCGGGTGTTGCTGACTGTAGGCAGAATGGAGAATCACATGGAACCCGAAACCGAAACTATCATATTATGATATATTATGTGTTAGGGGTAGCCTGTAACAGTAATTTGCACGCCCTTTTTAGAAGAGGTATGTCCTGCCCACCCTCGGCGAGACTCATCACTTATTTTGGCCCCCTTCATGACCCAATTGTGGCGAGACTCATCACTTATTTTGGCCCCCTTCATGACCCAATTTTGGCGAGACTCATCACTTATTTGGGCCCACTTCATGACTCAATTGTGGCGAGACACATCACTCATTTTGGCCCCCTTCATGACCCAATTGTGGCGAGACTCATCACTTATTGTGGCCCCTTTCATCACCTAATTATGGAGAGATTCATTTGTGGCGAAATATCTGGCCCCAGATGATAGGTGGCAAATTTCCCCGAAACTCGACACCCATCCGGGCCCGATAACTGTCAAGTCTCCCGGATGCCGTGGCCCCGGCTTCCGGGAGACTCGACACCTATCTGAGGCCCGATAGGTGTCGA